ATATTTTTCCTTGGAGTAACACGCCATATTTCCATATCCATCTTCATCAGAGATCTTCTCTTCAGAAATTGTTGGTCAGAAAGTCCTTTTAAAATTTTACATAAATATTTGATAAGTTTCAGGTTTTTCCCACATTAAATGTAAGCGTATGAAATATGTTCATTCCAGACTGTTCTTCTACTTTGTAGATTTTCCACTTGTCCTGTCTCAGACAAGCAGGCTTCATTTTTCACTCGCCTGCAGAATAATCTACTTATAAATACTAGCAGACTATCCATGATTTATTCAGGTGAGCGATACAGGGACATCATTGATCTCTTGTTTCAATTTTAAATTTTTCAACTGTCTAAAGTCTTCAATATACCTCTTATGGCTGGGGGGTTGTCTAGCATGAGAATTGCAGCCACTATAATCCCTGCATGATGACATAAGAGGCGACTAAATTGGTTTGAATTACTGTAGTCTATGTATCCCTTAGCTCCAGCAGGTGATGTGGTTTTGACTACGGATGTTGCCTTAAGTTTGTAACAGGACTCCTGAGGTTTAGCCAAAATCATCTTTCCTGTTTCAGTGCCATAAGACCTAAATTGTGTTGGTGTGCCGTAATGCCAAACAAAACAAACAAGTCTTCAATAGTTAAGTTACAAATCAATATCTTAAAGCTATTTTAATTTGCATTTGCACATATCTATTGAATTCTAACAATGGTAGCAAAATCTTTAGACAAACTTTTAAAAAATCTATTTTAACTGTTGGTTTGTATATATGATATAAACATGAATTTTCTTATCAGAATAAGATTGTTCAGATCATATGACAACTTTACTTCTGGAACACATTCTTAATCCCCTTCCCTGAAGTATGGGGCACTGTGATGGCACCACTAAACCATTGATTGACACTGGGTCATTTCTTAAAATAGGAGAGTGTTTATGAAGTATTGTACCTGCAGTCAGAAAAGAATTTTCTCCCTTAAAACGCAAGTAAAACAATTATTTCGTTATCAAATTCGTCAAACTGTAAATATCCTTATCAGTGATAAAACCTAATACATTCTTAACACTGAATATATAATTAATATAAAACAAGACACAAGTAGGATTATGGCTTATTATTGGTAGCATATATCGACAATTCATTCCAAAATCAAGATATATGGCCTGACGTCTGTAATATGTCTTCACTATCATGGAATTAAGAAAGCATTAGTCGAATTGAAAAATCAGTTCTATATGCACTAAAATTAAAGAACATCGAAGAACCAGAAAATGACGAACGCCACATCTATCTCTCGGAAAGCATGGGATGAAGGAAAACTGAAACGAAAAACTTATTATTAAAACTTTAACAATCCAATCTATATTTACATTGTAACAAAACTTGTCAGTTATGAGCTAGCTGTTCTAATTATGATAAATTGGGGTGGTGGGAGGGAAATACTAAAAAGATATGTTTCGCTGCCAATGTAAAGCCTGGAATGGCCTAAAACACGCCATATACGCTATATGAATATGCAAACATAAGCAGATGACGTTTTACGGACTTTGAAACGGAACTCTTTTACTTGTCCTATATGACTTCTTAACTTTTAAACATATATCAAGTCTGTCAAGTTAATTAAAAATAATAGAGAGTTCACAATTCAACAAGATATGTCTTATTTCACTGTATCACAGAAATTTACAATTCTAAAATACACTATATTAAAATAAAGACCTGTAAGCTATGTCTTTTCAAGGTAGTCAGCAATTTTATAATTCCTTATATCCACATAAAGCAATTTGAATACCTTAATAAATAACCCACATGTACTGTACAAAATGTCATTTCTGTGAATTAGTAGAATATATTTCATGTGATGGTTCTTTGTACGTATAATTTAATATCTTTGAATTATTGGTTTGCGAAAAGGAGTCAAGAAATAAAGATGATATAGAATTATATGTAATAGTTCTTAGGATGAGATTAATGTGACTGTTTCTATATTGATAATATGCTCAAAGAAGTAATGGTATCATAAAATTAAACACAGAGAAAAGTCGTTAAAGATATTGGATATTAAAGAATTTGTGAGAGTCATGATGAGTAAGTAAGTAAGTAAGTAAGTAAGTAAAGTCTTTATTTACTGAGGCTACACATTTGGTTTCCCAATCTTCCATGTGGGCCTCAAAACATAAATATACATAAAATATACATAATTTACATAATAGTTATACAGCAAAATTTTCAAATTACATACATGAAGACAAAAATGCATAATATATACATGAAAACACAACAAAAACAATGTACATTCAAACAAAATACATATTCAAAACACAATGCATGTACATATATTACTTAATACTTAATCTATGCAAGACCAAGGTACTTATGTGAAATTCCAACTGATATAGGAAGCTTGGAATTTTCTAATAGTTTCAGATTTACGAATAGAATGAGGGATATTGTTCCATAGTTTAGGGCCTGAATATGTCAGAGATTTTCTAAAAATTTCTTTTTTAGGTTGTGGCACAAATAAATCTGAGTTTTTTGCTGACCTAAGGTTATGCTCATGTCTTTGATGAATAAATTGAAATTTGTTTTTCATGTACTGTGGAAATGAGGCATTGTTTAAAGATTTATACATAATGACAGCTTTTTTGTATCTAATTCTTTCATCAAATTTTATCCAATTTAATTCATTAAATAACTCAGCAGATGGAGCATCGTAGCTTTTGTCAAGAATGATTCTTGCAGCTCTTTTCTGAAATTTTATGATATCCAAAATCTGTTCATTGTTACAATTCCCCCAGACTGTACAACAATAATCTAAATGTGGTAAGATATAAGCATTAAAGAACAGTTTTCTTGCATTTACATCAAGGTATTGTTTAATTCGGAGAAGAAGGTACAACTGTGTATTGCATTTCTTTAATGTCTTGTCTACTTGGGTTTTCCACTTAAGATTATTGTCAACATGAATACCTAGTAACTTTTCTGTCTCAGAAAATTCAATTTCATGTTCTTGCAGATGTAATGGTTGTAATTGTTGTTTATTTCTATTGGATGACAGGTTCATTGCTTTTGTTTTCTGGGCATTTAGCATCATTGCATTTTGTTTGCACCATAGATTAATATTGTCAAGGTCAGTTTGAAGTTTATTATGTAAATCTTGTGTAGAGAGACCTGATGCTGTGAGAGTAGTGTCATCAGCAAAAAGATCTGCCTCTGAGGTTTTCAAATGGAGTGGTAGATCATTTATGTATATGATGAAAAGCAGAGGTCCAAGGACAGATCCTTGAGGTACCCCTGATATGACTGTTGCTGATTTTGATAGGTTGCCAGATACAGTGACCTTCTGTGTTCTATTTTCAAGATATGATGTAAACCAGGTAATTGCACCAGAAGAAATATGATAGTAATAAAGTTTTTGGATGAGTAACTTATGATTTACAAGGTCAAATGCCTTTGACAAGTCAAGAAAGATTGTGCCAATTAGCTTTCCATCATTTATTGCCTTAATCCAGTTGTCAACAATATTTGTCAATGCAGTTTCGCATGAATGTTTTGTTCTAAATCCTGATTGGGTGTTGAAAATGAAGTTATACAATTCTAGGAATTGTTTTAAATGATCAGACACATGTTTTTCAAATATTTTAGAAAGTATTGGAAGAACAGATATAGGTCTATAATTATTCTTATCTGATTTGTGCACTTTTTTGAAGAATGGTGTGACCTTAGACTGTTTTAATTTTTCAGGAAATTTACCTGTTGTGATACTCAAATTGATAATAGTAGAAATTGGTCTACATATAATGAGTGGCTTGATTCGAATGATTTAATGTACATTTTGTAAAAATGAACTGAGAAACAACACCAATTATCATTATGATAGTTTGATAGAGACTTAATGTATAATGTTTCTTTGATTTTCATCTCAGCATTTTTAATGAAGTTTTTCGAGAATCTTGCATTTTCATGGTCATTGGTGGTGCACTCTAACACTGTGATGTAGCCACTTTGATGTATCCAGAGTTTGGTCAATACTGAACTTTATAATGCTGCCTCAGGATATGAAATCTCTCACCATAAAACACATGAGTTTGACACCTCAACCAATCACATTATACTTATACCTCTCATCTGCAAGGTTTTCATTATTAACAGATTGGCCATCGATATCATTGGTTGAAATGCTGTTAAAATCGGTTGTATTATCAGCTTCTAGATCAAAATGTTCCTCTTGACCCTTGGCAAAATCTGTTGCTCAGTGTTGCCTCAGATAAAAATGAATACCCTGCATTTGTCCTGAAACTACACGTTTTATTGTACACATCCAGAAAGGGAATCTTCTACTCATCTTAGACCTTACTGCAAGTGATCTAGAATTAAAAAAGTCCTTTATGTTGTTTTGTCTGAAGGCTATTGTTTATATAAAGTCTTTGATAAGACCAGACTGTGGATGGAACCAAATGTTTACTAAAATACTGGTAATAACATTGATCTTACAGTTGTATTGACACCTGCATAATGAATGTACAAATATAATGATATATAATATCACTTTACACTTATATTATTGAAGTTTACCTGTAATAGAAGGTTTAAACAGATCAGTCACGATCAAATGTATTTATTGAAGAATTTTCTCTCAATGGTAGTGAATTGGACGGGTTGGCGCATGAATTAATCCGTTAGTGTTGCAGTCCCGTTACAGTCATATTACCCGTGTCTACGTTTGAAGAATGGCCTTAAGGTATTGATTATTCTTTAACCTGGTCCAATAGTAAAATAACATAAATATTCCATTCTTTTTTCCGATCAGTTTTATTGGTTTCGATTGAATAGAGATGTATTTATGTAGGAGTATCGATATCGGCTAGAACATTGTTGAATTGATTGTCTTTAACTTCAGGGTACGGGTGTAATGATTTTTATCTATATATAGACTGGTTTTTGAGTCATAATCAGGCTTAGTTGGAATTTTAGTTTTGGACTGTTTCGTAATACAGGTACGACGTCAGTGAAATTATACTTTTTGCATTTTAATGTTGAATGGATTGATTTAATATTGTACAGGAAAGAGAAATATTTTAGTGATTTTTGTGATAATATTGATTATTTCAATCATTACCAATTATTGGAAAATTAAAAGGTATTTATTTACAAGAGACTGAAAATTTACAATAAGTCTATTGACTTATATGACTGTCCTTGATTGATTTTTTTTTCTTTTTGTTTTCTTTGTACACATATACAACTTTTACTGAGTTTGAAAATGGTCTACCACAAACTGCATTTAGAGATAATAATATCTTATCTCACTTACTAGTAATAGCTCGTATTTCACTTTTTAAATCAAAGGTCTCAACAAAAACCTAGTTGACCTTATTTTAAATTTCATTGGGAAAAAAAACTGAGCAAATATTTACTAGGCTATAAACTTAACTCTGAATTTTATCTTACAGAAGAAAGATAAACTGCGTTGACCTCAAGCTTATGATAATAGTAAAAGTGAAAGTTAAAAGCCATATGTTGATCTAATTTGCATTATATTTCTGATAGATTAAGTAACACAATTAGCAGATGGTAGAATATAATAAGTAATTTAGAATGTTTTGTCTTAGACATATGTTGATATTTATTAGCTCTACTATACTAGAATAGGGAGAGAATGATATTGTACTCAACCAGGTGTTGGCATCAGCGTCACACATTTGTTAAGATTTTGCATGCAAACTGGTATCCCCAAAACAACTGAAGGGAATGGGTTTTAACTTCACGGTTTAAATGTAGGCCAATTAACAAGACCCATAACTCTGATATGGATTTTGACAAAATTATGGCCCTTTTTGAACTTAGAAAATTCCACATTAACTGGGCTCTTGTTTTACCAAGCTCTGAGAATATTCGGGCACGCTGTCCTACCAACAATTCTTGTTATAATAACAATTACTTCTGTGCATATGTTAAAACATGGCTTAAATAATGTAACAATACATGTACATTGTTGATGTCAGTATACATTATGTTACAACCAGTTTTATTTAGACGTCACCATATTGCTTCTTACCAAAGCATTTTTACTTCAATATAACTATGCGATATTGATAAATTGGTCCAAACATTCAACACAGGTTATAGTAAGTTTTGAGGTTTAAAAAAAAAATTGTTTACTAACTGTCAGAGTAAGGGACTAATTTCAAAAAGTTACATGATGCAGAGGGTGCCATGGAAATGTATTTGTTACTATTTGTTTTATCTAATTTACAAGTTGTTCATTGAGACAGTTTTAAAATTCACATTACCAAGTGATTCTAGCATTGATTATTGAACAATATAACATTGCATGCTTAAAATCCTGTGTGGGTTAATTTACATTGCTGAGTTTCAATAATTCAATCAAATTTTATTTGTTTACCTGTTAGAAATGCTCCCATGCAAGTTATTGCTATAGAAATAATTGATGAGGTTTGGTCTTGTGATTGTACAGTACTGATTGAAGTTTGCACATTCTGCTCTTTTAGTCTAGAGCTGTCATGAAAAATAAACTGAGGTCTGAGTAACGGAAAGCTGAACAACTTGTCTTTCAGTTTGGTTATTTAAAAGATATTTCCAGAAGATGCCACTGTGCATGCTTTAACATATTCCCTTGTCGGTTATTCCAGATTAGCTCTGTCATAATTTAAGTTACACTGACATTGTTAAATAATTAAGATCATCATAAACTACTGACTAGAAATTATGTTATATGCAACTCTCTGATGATAGGAGAAATGGATTCTTTATGGGTCAGCATATATTAGTGTTTTGGATATTATGGCCAGAACTGGTGCTGCAACGATTCACCTAATGTTCAATTTGATGTGATTTTTATTTCAGGCACCCCAATTCAATAATTTGACACCAATTAGATTCTCGTCTGATTACTTTTTTATCTTTAGTTGACAATTCTGCCCATTTGCTCTAAAAGTTAGTGGCCCTCTACTTTTTTTACGTTTCCTTAGTTGTACAACTATTCAAGTTAAAAAGCACATGTTAACAGACAAACTATCACAGAAACAATACTAGGTACTGTGACTTACAGATCTGACTTTTTCTGGACCTAAACTCAGAGAACTTATTAAACACATCAGCGTTGTGCTTTCATTTCATTTGTTGCAACAAGTTAGTTGTACTTATCAACTTTGTACATGACATGTCCGCAAAACATATCTTGAGTTATAATTAACCAATTGTAATTGAGTTATAATTAACCAATTGTAATTGAGCTATAATTAACCATTTGTAATTGAGTTATAATTAAGCAATTGTAATTGTAATAAAGCGGTATACTAGTCTGTCAGTCTGAGAGGGACTAAAACTCTTATGTTTTCCATGTTTATTTTTGGGTTGAGCAGATTCAAATTGTAATATTGGAAGTTGAATCTGCACCCAAAGAACTGGTTTTCAATGCATTGGAATGAATCTTTGCTTTTCAGGCCAGGACCTTGAAATGAAAGACGTTTTCTATCATCTGAGACTTCTGTTTTAAAGATTATGTTTTATTTTAATGAGTTTTTAGTTTAAGACTTAAACAGAAATATTTTTAAGCACCTAAATAAATTGATGGTACATATACATAATGCAGGAGGCATGAAAGATAAATGAATAAAATGGTCATAAAACCGTGTTTAACAATTCAGATATTTAATATTCTAGTGTAAAGAAAATTATTCATATAGATCTGTTTATAAATACAGCTTACAAAAACGCAGAAGAATAGATCCCTTCAATCTGTAAAATCTTTACCGATATCTAAGTCACGAAATTATTTACTTAATTAAAGACCCACCACAACATACCTTACTAATATGTGCCTATTGTTGTCATTCAGAGAATCTCATGCATGTAAAACATGTCCTATAAAAGGGCAAGATCAGTTTTTAGGGGCATAAAAAAATTGTTTTTGTTGAAAATACTAAGTCTTAGTCTTTGTTGAAAGTTGATCTTTGTTGATAAATGGTCTTTAAGTTAGCTGTTGTTGAAAGGTGGTCTTTATTGAAAGTTGATCTTGTTTCAATCTGATCTGTGTTAAAAGTTGATCTTAGTTGAATGTTGATATATGTTATGAATGGTCTTTATTGAAAGGTGGTCTCTTTTGAAAATTGTCTTTGTTGAAATTTAGCTTTCTTTGTTAATATGTTGATTGAAGTGCTAACATAGTAACACATATTTGAAGGCGACATTCAGCACAAAGTTAAATGTTGATTAAATTTAATTATTATTTTGACAATGTTCAGTTTGTCATACCTATCAATTCAGATTATTTGTAGATCTTCATCATAAAAGTTCTGTTCAGCCAGAATTGTAAAAGTTTTGCTGATACTGGTCTTTAAATACATAATAGTGTCTCTTTGAACAAGTTGGCAATATTGCAAAATTACCTGCGGCCATTACAAATACCCGTTTAATCATGCAAGATAAATCTATGGATTTGAATTGATCATTGCCGTTTTTCATGAAAAATACCAACTTCAAAAACATGTCTACAAGGTAGAAGCTTCCTCGTTCCTGTATTGAAAAAATTGTTCAAGTAATGGACTTCCTACAATAATTGATTTTTATATCAGGTTTAAAGACTTCATGGCTAACTGTCAACTTGCACAATATTATAAAAGTATTTAAAATTTTACACTTGGAGAGACCTTTTATGATTAATAGTGATTTTGTTATAGAAAATAAATTTAAATGCTATATGTTAAGTTTACATAGTTTACATAGTTGTTTACTATATGTTTGTGTACACATCAGTGACAATGTAATTTGGTTCCAATGTTTGCCGTCCCTTTTATCTATGATAGTGGACGAAAGTTTTTATAATATAACATACTTGTCTATATCGTAGATAATATCTTATTATTATACCTATAGTCTCAAAAAGGAAATTTGAAATATTCTCTTTGTTAGAAATTAAGAAATGCTGTAATTAAAAATCTTTAATGTATGAATGTACTGGTAACCATGTCCATCTTTTACAGGAAATTCTGTCTCTCCCTTTCTTTCTTTCTTTCTTTTTCTTTCTTTCTTTCTTTCTTTTCTTTCTTTCTTTCTTTCTTTCTTTCTTTCTTTCTTTCTTTCTTTTCTTTTCTTTCTTTCTTTCTTTCTTTCTTCTTTCTTTTTCTCTTTCTTTCTTTATTTCTTTCTTTCTTTCTTTTTCTCTCTTTCTTTATTTCTTTCTTAAATCCTTCCTTCTTTCTTTCTTTTTCTTTCTTTTTTTCTTTCTTTCTTTTTTTCTTTATTTCTTTCTAAAGCAGGCCCTAAGTTGATCAGCTTAATAGGTGTTCAGCAACCACACCACAATTACAAGAAAAATTTGTCTAATTGGCATTTCAAAGTTGGATTATAAATGTATATTGAAATTAAATGGTGTTTTTTAAATTTAATATTTCTTTGTGATATTTGATAAATTTTTAAAAAAAAAATTTATTATTTTTTTTTTAAAATTAATTTTGAATTAATTTGTGCTGTTAATAAGCATGATAATACTGATATAATTTTCAGCAGATCACTTTTTCTTTAAAACTAATTAGTGCAAAGTTGTTTTTATTTTGTATTTGATATTTTATTGGTATATTAAAAAGATTTTGCTAAGCTTATTGCTGCTTTTATATTGAATAGTGATTTTATAACCCCTTAGGGTTGAAAGGCTATTTCAAAATTCTAAATAAATAATTTGAAAAGAAATTGATTTTACCCCATTTTGATGTACTTTTGGTATAATTTAAGCCTTTTATAATAGTCACAGTTTGAAGCACATGATGCTAAAATTAAACTTGTTTGGGCATAACTTTCGTTTTTTTCATTTCAGAAGAATTCTTATTTAATCAGGAAACATAAATGTTTACATTGTGGACATTTTATCGCCTAAGTAATGCTTGAACATGTTTAAACACAAATTAATACAGACTGATAGGATAGGAATTTTGCTTATTGTCAAATTATATTTGTTTGTAAGACTTATAACACCTTCAAAAACATGTCACTGGTGATGATTGTATAGGCACTGTTAAGACTAATCAAGGGCATTGTACACGAAAAAGAAATTATAATCTTTTTGTTTTTCACATAACTCACCTCAGAATAGGATTTATATAGAAAGATCATTTTGTAACA